AAAAAAAAAAAAAATGCAGATTAGCAAGTGTTAGAAAAGCTCTAAGGACTTGTTAGCACCAAATTGATCATTTCAAGTTGAAAAAGATTGAAAAAATAATCCTTTCTCACTGTATAATTTAGGGTCATTTAACATTCGCGTACCTTTAAAATCATACCATCATTAACACAGGTTCCCACTTTGGGAAATACCAGACTGAGGCACTGTTGAAATGCATACCTTATTCCTGTCTTAGTGTGCCTCTATTTATCATATCAACTGTAACCAGAGCAAGGAGCACTGGATTAGGTATTAGGAGGTAGGATCTAGCACTGTGTGGTGTTGAGAAAGTCCCTGCTCCTCTCTAGGCGTATTTTGTTGGCTGTAAAGTGAACAAGCAAGATGAGATTATTGACAGATAACAATATATAACTGACAAATATATTTATATGCTAAGCACTGGGAACATAGTGGTGAATAAGAAAGATATATCCTATCCCTGATCTCATGGAGTTTACATTCTTGTGGAGAAAACAGGTGAACAGCAAGTAAATCAGTACATAGGTAAATACATTCAGATGATAGAGTGAGAAGAAATTACAGCATGGTAATGAAAGTGAAGAGAAGAGGCCTCGGGAAGGCCTCTCTAAGGAAGCAGCATTTCAATAGACTGAAAAAATCAGGAACCTAGAGCAGCAGTGTCCAACAGAAATACAATGTGAGGCCAGGCATGGTGGCTTATGGCTGTAAACCCTGTCTCTCCTAAAAATACAAAAATTAGCCAGGCGTGGTAGTGCATGCCTGTAATCCCAGCTACTTAGAAGGCTGAGGCAGGAGAATCACTTGTCCCCGGAAGCCAGAGGTTGCAGTGAGCCGAGATTGTGCCATTGTACTCCAGCCTGGGAGACAAGAATGAAACTCTGTCTGAAAAAAAGAACTACAGTATGAATGACTTAATTTTAAATTTGCTGATAGCCACATTTTTAAAAAAAAAAAAAAAAAAAAAAAAGGTGCAATTAATTGCAATATTTTATTTAATCCAGTATATTCAAAATATTAACATTTCAATGTTATTAATTTTAAAAGTTATTGAAATAATTTATTCTTTTTGTTATGCTAAATCTTTGAAATCTGGTGCATAGTTTACAATATCACATCTCATTCCAATGCTCAATTTTCAATAGCATGAAATGTAGTCCTAACGAAAAAGTTGTGTTTAAGGGGAAAAAATATTTTTATACTGCTTCAGCTTTACATTTTAAATTTAAATTAGAGAATTCAGTTTCTAGGTTGTACTAGACACATTTCACATATTCAGTAGCCACATATGACCAACCAACCAGTGGCTACCTGTATTGAAGGTACAGGGACCAGTGGCTGTTTCCTTCCCAGGAAAGGAAGCAGCAAGCTATGGCAGCAGTGTCCAAGACAGCTCCTGCTGAATCCTACAGCAGGAACTCATCTGCTGCGTTCCATGCAGAGAAGGCAGGACACTGGGGCAGTGAAGTTAAGATGGGTTGGAGAGGAAGGCAAGGGCCAAATGTCAAAAGTCAAAAGAAAGTTTGTTTCATTTTAAGTTCAAAGAGAAACCATTTAGGCTGGGCGTGGTGGCTCATGCCTGTGATCCCAGCACTTTGGGAGGCTGAAGAGGGTAGATCATGAGGTCAGCAGATCGAGGCCATCCTGTCCAACATGGTGAAACCCCCTCTCTACTAAAAATACTAAAAAAAA